AACAGTTTCAGGGAATACATCCTTGAATTCAACCAAATCTTCATAGAGAGGATTTTGCTTGAGCGATTCCCATGATTGGGAGTCATATCGCTCAATTCGTGTCTTTTCATCTAGGACACTCTCGTCCATAGATGAACTACTGAGAACTCTCTCGTTCTCAGTAAACACTGTTGCTGACCTTATGTCGGTTACACACTCGTCGTCAGCAACGAGTATGCAGATCTGCTTGACTTTGCCACTACGCAGATCACGCAAGAAACTTTTATGTTCGAGCGTTGGCAACTGAGTGATCTCCGAAGTTAACTTCGGAGGCGCAATCAGATCAAGTGTATAAGCGCCTACACTTGATCCGTTATTGACTATGACATTCAATGTCTCTGTCATTTCCTGGGGACTTATTCCCTCAGGCTTCGAAGGACTTATTCCTTCGTCTTCCCGGGGACTTATTCTCGCGGGTTTCGGGGAACTTATTTCCGCCGTATTTGTAATCTTGGGACTTATTCCCTTTACTTCCTCTAGCTGGGGTTGCGCAACCACAGCGAGATCCTCTACGAAAGACTCTCCAGTCGATCTAGGATTATCGTTTCGCTTAACCTGAGCGATCGATTGTTTCTCTTCTAGATGTTCCCCGCTAGGGATACATCTTTGTCCCAGTCCACCCGACTTATTCGAGTGGTGGACCTTCGGCGCAGCCTGTGTTTCCTCACAGCCGCCGGAACTTTGCTCCGAAGTGTAACCGTTTGGTTAACTAAGGTTTTGTGCAGTCGTACTAACGACCGTACCACAAGTGAGGCCATCGCACTCACTCGTAGTACATCCACACGCTTGTGGACGCTCCAAAACGTTCATCAGATGGCCATCTGATGAACAAGCGGCAGGCATCGTTACTGTCCGATGTTGCCAGTTTACTCGTGGTTCGTACCTTCTGAGCCACGGTATTCCAAGGATGACATCAAATTTGTCATCCAAATCCAATACGATAAAGTCATCGTCATATTGGGTATCTTCTAGCGTATAGTGGATCTTCACTATACGCTTCATGACGGTTACGGATGCGCCTGTCGCAAGACGTACCGTCATCCTCGTAGGAGGTGTGTCACATTCACTGAATTTAAAGTGACCATCTTCTAGCTATTGGCGTCGCACAAAATTGTTGGACGCCCCACAATCGACTAGAGCTCGAAGGGACAACTTATTCGTCACTTCGAGTTTCAAGGTAATGAGTGAAATCTCATTACCTAGAGCAGCAACGCACAACGTTTGTGTGTTGGGAGCAACTTTCATCAAGAGGCCTACAAATTCTCTTGACGTTGCTAGACCAGTAGGGTGCTCCGCACCTACTGATCCTGTCCGTTTTTTGACGGTCCATCCCGTTGTTGCGTCTTTGCACCAGCTGCGGACCCTCGTCCCTGCCCCTTTCTCATGGGTAGACGGTCACTACGCCCAGTGTCGCGAGACACTGGACGAGGGGCACTACACTCGTAAGCGTAGTGTCCTGTCTTTTGACATCTGTTGCATCTCTGCAACTTCTTGTAGCCTGTAGAGCGAGCCTTCTCGCTCTCTACATAACAGAGTTCCATCGGCTCTGGACCTCCGTTGTCGTATCGTCTCGGTTGACGATATGATGTCGAGCTGGCGCGAGCCTGTCTCAGACTGAAGTCTTCCTGCTCCGCAATGGAAATGGCTTGTTCTAGTGAATCTAGTTCAAGCCGGAACAGGTGAGTCTTGACGGGACCATCCGCAAGACCCTGCATGAACACCGAAACCAACGTGTGTTCATCCACCGGATTGGAACTTATACAACTCGTGAGATGTCGTATATGTTGAGCGTAAGCGTGCACATCACGCTTACCCTGTTTGAGCTTCAAGAGTTCGGTTCGAGCTCTGAACTCAGCTCTAGGCGGTTCAAACGTTTGTATGAGCCGCGACTTGAAGACTTCCAACGACCCAAACGCATATGGGTCGTGCAACTTGATCCCCAGTGCCCAAGTCTTGGCACGTCCTGCCAGATTTGACTGGGCAATTGCAACTTGCATATCCCCGTCGTCGATGCGACGCGCCCTTATGGCGTCATCCACCTCGACGAACCATCTCAAGAGGGAGTCTTCTTCGACCCCCCTATACTTTGAGATGTCAATCTTCAAAGTCTCGGGTCGACGCGAGTGCATCGACCCGCCAGCAGCAGCCTGCTGCTGTCTCAACAGTTCAAACTGTTGAGCACCCTGTTCTCTCAACAACTCTGCTTGTTGAGAACCTTGTTGGTGAAGCAAGGCTACTTTCTCGCGTTCTGCGTCAAGTTCATTTTGAATGAACTTGGCGATAGTAGCATGTTGGGCATCTCTATTGAGAGCCTCTAGCATGACGCTAACAGCATGTATGCCCATGGTCGAACCCATTCGTTCAACCGCATCCCATTCGACATCGCTCAAATGGGAGTAGCCGTCACGCGTAGCGTGAAAGCTTTGGTCATCTTTCATCATCCAACATATTCATGTTGGATGTGAACGCGGTCCTTGGACGGACTACGAAGTGCTACCAGGTGTAACGGGGCACCCTGAAGCTTGTACTGGTGACAGTACAAGCTACTTATTCTGATGACAGAATAAGGCGGTGCCTCGTAACTTCACGTACACTCGTACGTGCAGAGGAAGACGGTAAGAAGAAGCGAGTACTTGGTTAGAGTAAAAGTAGAACTGTATTTATAATAGTTAATGTCTGCAATAAATCACTATTTATCTTCATCTAACTATGTCTAAATACAAATGTGTAAATCAGTTATCTGCTCACCACTCATTGCGTGCGTCTGTCGTGGCGCGTCTTCGTTGGTTGATATAATGGCCTATATCAACCAATTAGGAACTACTTGTAAGTGCTACAGAATATTTGTCCTTATGACAATATTCTGAGAATATAACTCTTATAGTTATATTCTATTAACAATTTCTTATAAATTGTTATGTAACGATTCACCCCGTTACACAGATAGTATCGACGGTGGTAGCACTATACACTGACACATGTGGAGACGCGTGATCGACATGAGAGCTAAATTGCAGAGGAAGGCAGAGTTCAGGATCGTTCCAATCGGTGACTGACTAGTTCGTCATGTTAAGTCTTGACGACAACAAATGCAATCACACATCATCTCGTGCTCGAACGTTACTCTATACCCTACACGATAAGCTGGTAGAGCGGCTCCAGCCACGGAAAGATCCGAGAAAGTTCTGTCGTTCCATATGAAGCTGCTTCGTTCAAATGTCGAATGGTGTCTCGTTTGCAACCGTAATGGTAGAGACATTTTTATCGAAGACGCTGGAGAGTTACGGGTGACAGGACTTGATGGCAAGGGTGCACGAAATGTTGCTGAAAGTTGGAATGTCAGATCACTTCTATGTGTTGGGGTTCGCTCGTTGAATGTCTCGATCATTCTTTGATCGGTTTCTTTGTTTTGGTTTTCAGATTATCCAGCTAATCTGCTAGAAAAGTCGTCGTGGGCTCAGTGCGTTTTCGTTTCGTATTTTGAGATGTGCTCATAAAATGTATTTTACGAGGGCAGCTTCAACTTTTCTCAAAAACCGCCTTCTTTGCTTAGAAACAGCTGTCGTGTCCGAAAAACTAACCCTAATTCAATACTTTACCTCGCTACAAGGGTGTGCCACCTGATGGTGGCTGTCCACGGTCGATCGTGACCTTCTGCACTCTTTTAAGGAGGTCCAGTGAATCTCTTTACAAGATTTAGTTGATCATCGAAAAAGTACCGACTGGGGACATGCTCTATACCATCCCTCGTCAGCCTCATTGTCAATGAGTTACTGCTGGTGATCTGTGAAAAAGGGGTAACTTTCTGCCCTATCATCAATCTATCCAAAGATCAAAATGCTGATGACTTTTCTTAGATCTTTTTGCTGATGTCGAAGCGTGAAAGGGTGTGTCACAATTTTGAGGTGAGACCGAGATCACGCAACTTTAGATCAGCAGCGCTGATTGGTGGTTAGCGCTAGCGACAGGGCCTTTTCTCGATCTTAGTCGCTTCTCTTTGTATCCGATGGCTGAATGGTACCGTGTACCGATTGAATAAAACCACGCGTTGCTGGATACGCACGACCAGAAACGTCGCAGGGTCAAAATTTCAATTCTCCGACCATTTTAACGTGCGACAGTTGAGCCAGTAGAGATCGCTTATCTTGCTATATCCATAAAAATGAGGTTAGAATGGATGCACACGCTTCAGCTCGTTCTGAGGCGGGCAAGTGTCGTTGACCATCTCCTACGACGATAATACGCTGGCACTTTTGTCATGTACGTCGTAACCTCGTGTTGATCCGAAAACGAAAAAGCTGCTGCATCGTATTGCACGCGTGAAGCCCTTCATTCCTCCTATTCATCTTGCTCAAAGCTCAAGACCACCACAGTTCACGAGACGCTCGACATCGTACCGTGCGAACGACTTGACGCAGCTTATACCGCCGGCCACTGGTCACGTAGACGAGTGTATCACGCTCGTTCAAGTATCATAAGGGCAGATTGATCACTTTTTGTTATGAAAAGCGGTATTCATTCCGGTAGAAAGGTCCGCTGTGAGCCGCAGCCACAGGTTCACACTGCGAAGCCCAGTGCTAAAAGTGCGACAAAACGAGCTTTCGAGCGGGCACCGGTGTGTGAGGGGAAAGCCGCTAAAGCAAAAGTGAAGCGCTGGCAACGATCTTGAAGCTGGGCTCGCTCTCCGCTCGGTTTGGGTCCGAGCGAAGTGCGGCGACAAGAACGAATTCGCACTTGATCGGGAGTCTCGACTTTAGCATTTGCCATAATAACTCGACGGGGTTTTTCAAACGCGAGGTCGGGAGGGGTGGGTGGTTTTTCCACGAGGGAGTTTTTTTCCCGCCCGCTCGCTGTTTGAAGCCAAGCCAGTTCCAGATCTGCGCTGCCCCCAGCCAAACAACCAGCTTTCCACTCGGCAAGCCCGTCTCTTCTCCTTCTTCCCCCTCTCCTCCTTCTCTCTGATGGTGCGTGGAGCAGTGGGACGCCCGAAAAAGGTCCCGGGCGATCACACGCGCAAGCCCCGCAAGAAAAAAGACAAGAACGCGCCCAAGCGCGCGCTGTCGGCCTTTATGTTCTTTAGCAATGACATCCGCGACACGGTGAAGAAGGAGATGCCGGAGCTCCAGTTTCTCGAGATCTCGAGCGAGATTGGACGGCGCTGGAAGAAGATTACCGACGAGGAGCGCCGGGTACGCGGTGCAGCGGTTTCTATGGGCCGTTTCTATTTCTAATTCTGCTGTTTCTGTGTGGCGTGGGATGTTTGTAGCCATATGACGAGTTGGCGGCTGCTGACAAGCGGAGGTATATGGAGGAGAAGGAGGATTACGTGCCGGACCCGTCGTTTGAGACGACCAAGGGCACGCGCAAGAAGAAGGACCCGAACGCGCCCAAGCGCGCGCTGTCGGCCTACTTCTTCTTTTGCAACGACATGCGTCAGGAGACCCGTGACGAGAACCCGAGCAAGAAGATCACGGAGATTGCCACGCTCTCGGCCGAGAAGTGGCGCGCGCTGCCGGACAAGAAGCGCGTCAAGTACCAGAAGATGCACGAGGAGGCGAAGGTCAAGTACCTCCAGCAGATGGACGTTTACAACTCGAACGACGTGGCGGTGCAAGAGCCAGACGAGGTGGACGAGGACGACGACGAGGACGACGACGACGAATAGGCTGAGGGACGGTCGGCGATGTCTTCACTCGCTCGCTCTTTCTCTCTCGCACCCTCTCCTCTCTGGCTGGTCAAGCTGCTGCCTGCAAGTTGACTAGAGGCGAGCTGATTGCCAGCGGGCGTGCACTGAATGCAGCACACGCGCGCGCGCGCGCGTTTGGCTAGTAGTCAGGAGGAAGAGAGAAGCAAGCCGACAAGCAGCGTGTCGTTTGGGACGCTGCTATTCCCTATAGCTCGTAGTTTGCTGGACACATGGTACCCTCTTTTTATACTTTGAAGCTTTGGTAACACTTGTTGTCTGTTGGTTCCTGTCTCGGTAGAAGGAAGGGCGACCTTCTCTCACTCTTGTCATCACGATTGAGGAGTTTAGCTGCTTCGTGCAATGGACGCGCTGTCTGCATCTTGTACGAACGAGTGTATCCACCAGAAGGCGCCTCAGCTAGAACCGACTCCTTGTGAGCCAATTTGCATCGGACGTGGCTGTTCGAAGCCCAAACGACAGAACGGAACAGGATCCGTGTTACGACAGACACCTCCCGAGACAAGCCCAATAACGACTGAGCAACATGACTCGATTTGCTACAGATCCGTGTCTTCTATGACGTAGGTAGATCCACAGTTGCCTCGACCCAGCAGCTCTGCTCGACAGCAGAGTGCCTGCTAATGCAGCAGCACATCGAAGTCCGGGGTCACCACGAGATGGCGCTCGACGTTGCCCAGAATGCTCAATTGCTTCTCGGTCGTGTTCACGGCATAGATTTCTTCACAGAAAGAGGGCGTCTGGGCCGCTGCCACGTCAAACTGCTTGTCACCGAGCATCAGCACCATCTTGCCCGACTTGTGCACGCAAATCTAGTGGCAGCAAAGCAATGCGCAGCAACAGCGGGGGATACGATCAATATGAACACAAAGTACAAACTACACGGCCGAGACATGACGTACCTTGCCAATATACCCGCCCGGCGCAGTCTCAACCGAGTGGTCAAACACTCCATCGTCACTATTGACAAACACACAGCAGAAGATAATGAGACACGACACACAGCCTTTTGACGTAAACAATGCGTGTGCGTACGGAGAATCGTCCGGGTTTGTGTTCTCCTTGGTCTTCTTCGCTTCCTCGTCATTCACATCCTCCGCACTACCCATCGGATCGTCTTCATCTGTTTTGGTCGTCTTGGTTACAACACTTGAAAGCGGCAACGTCGTCGGCATCTGAATAAAAAAGAGCGAATCATCCATCGCCACCATGTCACCGCTCGGGTCGCAAAAGATAGCGCCAGCACCGTCTGGTTCCGGCGGTCGCACAATCGGCAAGCTCATGGGCTCCATAACTGACTTGACTACTGGCGGCCACACGTGCTCTTCTTCTACGACCAGTATCTTGCCTCCAGGCATCTCTGCTTCATCCAGCACACTGATACCAGTACCACCAGCAGCTGAGTAATCGGCATACGCCGACGTAGCGCGTGGAGCAGCTGTGCTGCCGCCCCCACCAAAAGAAGATCCGCTTGAAAGCGTACCGACAAACGCTACCTTGCCACTAGGCATGAAACCTATTCCACGTCCCCGACCTCGTCCACGACCTGCTCCTCGGCCTCCATTGCGTCCTCTATCATCGTGTTTGAGCGCTCCAGCGCCTGTCAAGTGCGGCTTCGCATCATGAGAGCGTGTTGCACCAGTACCGACGTCCTCGCCACGTCCTGTCTCTGGTACTGGACGTCGTTTCGCAGCTTTCGGCACAAATTTCGGACGCCGAGTCGAGCCATTGGCTGATGTGTCAGTCGAAGCACGAAAAGACCTGAGAACAGAGAGCGACACGGCTGGATATGGTGAGAAACACGACTAGAAGGGAAGCAGAGGCAGTGGGTCGATTATTGGCGTAATCGTGAGGAGCGACGTACGGGAGCCGCGTGCTGGAGGCGTCGACGCGGGGCCGGACGTCGCTCGTCTGCTGCTTTCCAGCCATTTCGGATGTGAGTTGGGTCATGGCTACATGTTTCAAAGCGATTCGTGGACCACCATTGTGTCACTATTGGGAGGGACCAAAATGGGTACACTTGGCAGCGGTACTGGACTGTACCCCTTGTCACTCTTTGCATACGCGTCGGTGGAACACATGGGGGCACGTGGGCGTCGGCCGTGTACAACAAGAGTGACTTCGGGTTGACCACGTGGGAACGACATACACATGATCAACGCAAGGTCGATTGTGTTTGTACGCGGCGTTTGTCGCACGCTACTGCTGCCCTCGCAAGAAACAACGCTCCTATTTCCCTGCTTGTCATTTCTATCCAGTTGCATACAAACATCAAGTGAGTAGTCGTACCGGTATCCCGTCGATTCGTTCAGTCTTGAACTTGCCGAGTAAACATCACGTGGAGTGGACGTGGCCGGCTTTCGGTGTCCTGGGGCAGTGCAAAAACGGGAGGACCGATGGATCGACCTCCCCACCCACGATCTTTGTCCAGCATCTGTTTCGACGATACAAAAGGAGTCGTCGAGGAAGCCACGACCTCCTTCGTCGTCCAGTCGTGGCAAAAAGGCAAGTTCTGCCACGTGAAACGAGCACGTCGGACGCGGTGTCTCACCGAGACTGTCGCTATTCTATTTCGATAGTAGATCCGGCATGTTGTCGACCGCCTCATGTCGCAACTTTCAACGTGCTCGCTAACGAAGCTCGTGGCTCTTTCTCCTTCCTTTTTCGTACTGTCATCATGGCTGCTGTTGATATCAGGGCCAAGGGCGGCCAGCAGCAGGGGCTGCTGCTGCTGCTCATCCTCCCAGCCCCGTCGCATACAAAGTCGCTGATAGGCGAGGCCGGATCACCCGCTCCCCCCTTCAAAGTTGCTCACTTGCACTTGAACTCAGTATACTTTCGCACAGCCTTCGTCCCCTCTCGCTCTACTGCAGTAGACCAATGACTGGCAAGTGGGAGCTTCTCAGTCGCGAAGGTTTCAGTCCGCATTCTTCCGCGAGAAGTCAGACCAGCGGCCCCACCGGCTCCTTGGCCCACTGCATTGCATTGCATGGCACCGACACGTCTCCCACCCTCGGCCACGGTGGCCCGCCACCCCCAGCAGCCGTCGCCACCCCCCGCCACTGCAGCTGCCACTAAGAAGCGCAAAGCCAGCGACGCGCCCTCGGCTTTCCACGAGACCAGCCGAGCGTCCACGCACTGCTCGCTCTGCGGCTTTGGCGCCTCGACGCTCGACCACCTGCTCACGCACGTGCGGGAGGCGCACGACCGTAACCACGAGACCGCGTCGTCCTCAATGGGTACGTTCGGCATCGCTGCAGCAGCAGCTGTTCATGACTATCTAGAGTAAAAAACCTCACTCCCTCCCTTCGTTTCTATCCCTCTCTCTTGTCATCTCTCTCTCTCGGTCCCTCTCTCTCTCTCTGTTTCTATCACAGCACTGCCGCTTCAAGTCGCGCACATGGTGGTCCAACGAGCTCTCGACCAAGCAGCTCTAGGAGGCGCGACAAGTGCCTGGCTTGGCGCCATGCAGCAAGAGTTCAGCGCGGCCGCCGAGTTGACCGCTGCGCTCGAGCGACGAGACGCTCCTGGTGTAGCCGCCGCCGTCGGTCGCTTGCAAGGCGTCACCCAATCGGGAGACGAGCGGACGCTGCCGGCGACGCTGCAACAAGCAGCGCAGATCTTGTTCCAGTCGCTGCCAGGAGCTCCACTAGCAGCGGCGGCCGACGTCTCGTCGGTGCCCGTCGTGGCGATCAAACAAGAGGAAGCAGAGCCACGCAATGAAACACCTGAAGCTGGAGCTGTTACAGAGGACGCTGCCGAGCCACAATCCAAGGGAAAAGACTCGAGCATCCATGAGGCAGAAGCTGCTCAGGCGCTCACGGGACTACGAGACACCGCCTCGAGCAGCGCCACGACGACGGAAGCTACAATGACTGCTGCTCCCGTGACGACAGCAACGTCTGTGTGGCCGCCACCAGCTGCGCCAAAGCCGACTCCGATGGCTCCTCAAGCCTCGTTCCCGTCGTTCACGCTTGGGTCGCCGTTGAGTATCACTGCACCGACACTGCAACTGAGCAGTCCTCACTTTCCGTCGTCCGACGGCATGTACACTAGTGCAAGTGTCGGACGGTCGCCTGGCACGCAGTCGTCGTTGCCGAGTCTTTTTGCAAGGAGTCTCTTGGCCCCGCTCGCCTCGCCGTCCAGCGTCGCGGACCCTGGAAATGGATTGGCTCATGGCGTTGCAGCGGAACCGGGTTACTTGAATCCTATGATGATCAATGACCACCGCAACTCGTTGGGATCGACGCTTCGACCGGAAACGACGTCAGCATTTCTCACGCCAGTGTACTACTCGTCGTTCCCTTCGTTTTCGACGACGACTAACGGCGTTACGCATGGCACACCGACGATGAATCGACCGACATTGGCATCTCCTATCAAGCGCAAAAGTATCACGTCGAAGCAGTTGATTGTAAGGTGTGATGCGGAAGTCGCAGCTGTCCGGGCAGCTGCATCTACAGCTGCGGCAACAGATACAAGTGGAATGGGACCGCTGGGACCGATATCTGTGTCTGGGACACCTACGACACCTGCGACTCGCAAAGCTACTCCTCGACGTTGGACGAAAGAAGAAGACGATGCACTGCGCTCGGCTGTCGAGAGCCACCGCGAGAAGAACTGGAAGGCGATTGCTGCTCAAGTCCCTGGCCGCAACCACACGCAGTGTCTTCAACGGTGGACGAAAGTGCTAGCTCCAGGTCTCGTGAAGGGCCATTGGTCCCCGCACGAGGATGAGCTGCTACGGCGCCTCGTAGCAACGGAGCAGAAGAACTGGGGCGACGTGGCCTCAAAGATACCGGGCCGCACTTCGAAACAGTGTCGAGAGCGCTGGCACAACCATCTGGATCCGCAGATTGTGCGCGGCGCATACACTCCCGAAGAAGATCGGCTGATTCTAGAGGCCCAAGCGCGACTGGGTAATCGCTGGTCAGTCATTGCTGCAATGTTACCGGGACGAACTGAAGACGCTGTCAAGATCCGCTGGAAGTCGCACTGCCGGTTGTGGCGGGCGCGCAAGTATTTGCGGAAGAATCCTAATAGCGACGTCGACATGATGAGTGAACCGACACAGACGCCGAGGACGCCGTTGGTGCCTCCCACGGGCGATTTCAAGTGGCCCGTGCCTTTTCCATGCAGTGCAGTCGACGACCGTGAGTCAAGTGCGGGCACGGACGTCATGGGTCGAGTAGACTAAGAATGGCACACAATGTGGACCGTCAGTGGACGATGGCAGTGGACGCCGTCAGTAAACGTCAGTGGACGTCAGTGGACGTAATTTCTAAATATGAACCTGTACTGTACCTGCGAGACGCCGTCGTGTGAATGGTTCAACATGGTGACAAAACGTGCCCACCTCGCTTACGAGTGGCTGAAATTCCGCATCAGCTCACCAGCCATACAAATCATGCCCATGACGGTACGTAGCTCCTCGACGTCTGTACCCACCCACTTGACCCACTAACTCCCTGTGTGTCCCTCTCTCTCTCTCTGTGTGTCTCGCTCTCTCTCTCTCTCTGTTGCCATTCTCTACGCAGACGCGATCACCGGAGCTCCTTGCAGAGCCAAGATATCTCGATGGCAGCCCCTCAGACCGTGCAACTCTCTCTCTCCTCCAATCAATCGGCGTCTCCCTTGCCGAATGCTCGTCCAGCTCACGCCCGAGCGAAGGAGAAGTTGCAGTGGACGTGGCGACAGACGACACGCTGCAAAACGAGCACTCGAGCGCGAGTGATCTCGTCTACAAGGTCGTGAGTGGACGCGTGTATTTAGACGCGCGGGATTCGGCCGATTGCTGGGTACGCTGCACGCTGATTGAAGGCATGAAGGTTACGCTGAGCTTGCACACGCTGCGCCGCTTTGTTCCTACCACGGGCGATGCTGTGCAGCTCACGGAAAGCAGAGAAGGAGGGCGGAGTCTGTTGCCTCGTTACACTCGACTGGTAGACGCGGCGAATCACTTGGTGCAAGTTGACGCCAATGCAAGTCGGGAGCTCGTCTGCGAACTTTGTCGTCTTTACTATAGTACGGGATGGATGACGGGCACGGGCGGCGCCATGAGTCTGCGTCATGGAGAACGCTTTTTTGTGACACCATCAGGTGTCCCGAAAGAGCGTCTGCAACCAGAAGATCTGTACGTACTAGACCTCGCAGGCAATATCCTCTCGTCCCCGGCCGCAAAAGCTGGCAAGAAAGTCCCTAAGCTATCGGACTGCGCGCCGCTGTTCCTTCACATGCACAGGGTTCGGGCGGCTGCTGTTGTACTGCACAGTCACGGCATCACGTGCAACTTGGCGGCAGCACTGTGCGACGGTAAGAAGGAGTTCCGCATCTCGCACCAGGAGATGATCAAGGGCATTACTGGCCACGGATATACGGATACCTTGGTTGTTCCCGTGATTGACAACGCGCTGAAGGAGTCCGCGCTTGCACAGCCAATTGCGCAGACTTTGGAGGCGTACCCCAATACATCTGCTGTACTGGTTTGTCGTCACGGTCTGTTTGTGTGGGGAGACTCGTGGGAGGCAGCCAAGCGCCATGCTGAGTGCCTCCACTACCTGTTTGAGACGGCAATCGAGATGCGCAAGCTCAACCTAGACTTCACGGTCCCCCCTGTATCTGCCATTTCGAGCAACAACAGCTCTCTTGGGCGTGGGTGCACTGATGAGTCGAGCACAGGCAAGCCAAGCATGGCGGAGCGGCACAAGGTGGTGATGCTGGATATCGAGGGAACTACGACCCCCATTACTTTTGTGCACGATGTGTTGTTCCCGTACGTGACAACCAACGTTGCTCGTTTCTTAGAGCAAACGTGGGGTTCATCCGAGACGCAATCGGATGTCGCAGCTTTGGTCGCACAGCACAAGCAGGACGAGATTGATGGAGTGAACCCGCCTGCACTGAATGCCCAGCAGGGCAAAGTGGAGCTGATCAAGGCTCTCGCGGCTTACGTCAACTGGAACGTCGCGGCCGACCGCAAGGTCGGACCCCTGAAGCTACTGCAGGGCCACATGTTGCTCCAAGGGTATGAAAGTGGGGAGCTCAAGGCGTCAGTGTACGATGACGTCCCTCCATGTCTCGATCGTCTACGCGCCCGCGGGGTGCGTGTGGGCATTTACTCGTCCGGTTCGCGCCAGGCGCAGAAGCTGCTATTCCAGTATACGGACAAGGGCGATCTGCGTGAGTACTTGACCGTGTACTTCGACACGAGCATTGGCCACAAGCGCGAAGTTGGAAGCTACAAGGAAATCGTCCTGAGTCTTGGCGTGGATAGTGCCAAGGACGTGCTTTTCGTAACGGATGTGATTGAAGAGGCTCAAGCGGCTCGAGCTGCCGGACTCGACACCGTTTTGTCTGTGCGTCCGGGAAACAAACCGCTGCCGGATTCCCATCCCTTCCCGACCATACGCTCGTTCAGTGAGCTCTGAGATGCGAAAGGACTTCATTACCGAGCACCAATTGTATCCCTTTGTTTCTCGAGTCGTTCAGCTTGTGTGCTGTGCTGTTGTCTCAAGTTGTCCACTGCGAATTCATGCCATTGAAGCTACGGATCGCGTGCATTGGTTCACGCAGATCCTTCAACAAGGGTATAACCTCAACGTCTTGCTGGCAAATGGCCGAAATGGCTACAGCGTCGTTTCAAGATTCATGAAATATGAGATACGACAGTTTCGCTCACAAACTCGGTCGGTCGGTATGCTCTTTAACTGTCGTCTTCGTTTGCTCTTCTGCTCTCTAATCGGTCAATAATTGCTGGCTCATCCCGTCGCAGTCGTCGCTGGTCGTCATGGAGTCGTCGTGCGAGCAGCACTCCAGCGCGTCCCACACGTTGTCCGCGTCCCCCCCGTCTTCCACATTGCAAGAAGACGCGTCCAGCTCCACGCTCGCACTTCTTGCAGTCGCAGACGTGCCGTGCTCGTCTCCCAGCGACGCTGCAAACGTCGCGACTTTGGCCTTGGGACTCGAGCGATGCGCGTCGGAGCTGCTGCTGTGGCTCGCGCGTTCGCCTCTTGCCACGTCCTTAGCAGACGAGGCGCTCTGGTTCTTCGAGACGCACCACCCCGAGCTCCTGGATGATCTGCCGCTGCTCTTTGCGTGGCTCTCGCTCTTCCTGGCGAAGCACGAGCGCTCGCCAAGTGTCAGTAGCGAGGCTTCGCGTGCCGATCATACAGTTGTAGAGCAATTCGCTGCATGGAAGAGCACCTTAACGCTGCTCTACTACAAGCACGAGAGTGAACGACAAGAGCGACCCGACGACTCAAGCCGCAGCAACTCAAGACGGAAGACGGTCGCGTTTCAAGCGGAGACGGAGCTCCTGCAGTGGGTTCTCGCTCGCCGTCACTTGAAGCTCACGAGACGCGACATTCTGGACCACGTGATTGAAGAGTATCCGGTCTTTGCCGCGTCCAAGAGCGCCGCTGCACTCAAAGTGTGGACGTCGCGCTTCGTCAAGAAGCACATTGGACCTCACGTGGACACAGGAGCGACGAAAGCTGTCGGTGAGACGGTACCAGACGTGCCGATGGGGCGGACGGAGGCTGGTGATAATAAAAGTGCGACTGCTGCTGCTGAGGCTGAGCTTGTTGCAGCGTCGGATGTTGAAGGAGGGACATTGTTTTCACTCGAGATGCAGACGCCTTTGGGGCTCGAGATACTGGACACAAGTGCCGATACTGGACTTGAGTTGGCAGCAATGACTGGACGACGACACGCTGGCAAGCGACGGCCGTGTTCAGGACGCTACATGCTGTTTTCGAACGAGTTCAAGCTGCGTGCGGTGCACATGGTGGAACAAGGCAGAAGCGTGGCGGAAGTCGCGAAAGAATTGGGACTCAAGAGCACCAATTGCTTGAATTATTGGAGGAGTATCCGTGACAAGCTTGTTACGGCCGAGCAAAAGCGATTTCGGTTGGCTGGAGGAGGACGACGTAGTAGCTGTACGTTCGAGGACGAACTGCTCACGTGGGTCAGTCGACGTCATCAGCAAGGTCAAGGTCAGTACTGTGATCAAGCAAAGACGTGTTGCGCTGTTGCTATTCTGACGTTCTGTGTTGTTGCCTGTCATTGTGCAGGCACTGATGCCAAGGCTGTGTTGGAGTACATGAAGCAGCATCACTCGACCTTCACTGAAGGCAAAAAGGAGCCGACACTGCGCAAATGGATTCTGCGCTTTTTCAAGCGTTGTTGGAGAGCTCCATGTCCATCAATGGACTCACCGGATGCAGAGAAAGCATACGTATTTGTCTAACACGAGTGTATCTTGACTTTCTGTGCTATGTTTGTGTGTGTGGGAAGCGTGGACCTTACAGGGTCACACTCGTTTTTCGGTGCAGCTGGGGACTGGCACGGAAGGTAAAATGATGGTGGAAAGTTCTGGATGCTAACGTTGTACGAGTGACCTGTGTGCAGCTCACCGCTTGCACAACGATACCTCATGCTCATGACAAGAGACGCACTTCCTGCTGTGGTAGCAAGCAATTCATCTTTCCGAACTTCGATGAGGTCTTCTCCGACGTGACACGTTCACAGTGATCGTGCAGCAGTTAACAAATGCACGAACACTTGTGCTCATACGAGGTGCGATGGTCTGCAATTGCTAGCGACCAGATGATCCCGATGAGCTACAAACCGTGATCGTTCCCGCCTTCACCATCCTCGTGTCATACCCACCCTCAAACGCATACGTACGTGCTGCAAAAGTACATACTCTATTCAATCGTCCAAAGTGCTCGTCTCTTGTTGACTTACTGGGCCGCCGCGCGAGCAACAAAGTCCTTGGCCAGCTGCTTGACGTGCTCCACCTGTTTGCCATCGCCCTGGTCTTGCTCAAACTGCAGAAACTTCTTGAACAAAAACTTCATCTTCTTGGCTGAGAACTCCATTGCTAAAAGACGCTCGAAGAGCGCCCGCACGAGTGCCACGTCGCCAAACTTGATCTCCTTGTCCAAATAGACATTCCACAGGTCCAGACGCTTCGGGTAGTTGGCCAAGATGCCCTCGAAAATCGTCCGTGCCTTCTCCAGCTCGCCCTGTTGGTACAGAAGCTGCCCATACTTCAGGATCACTGGCAAGTGCTTGTGACCAGCCAAACTCTTCAAACTGCGCTGCAAGGTCTCAGCTGCCTCGGACAAGTGCTTGGCGTCCACCAGATACTGCAACGAGCGGATCCACGTCTGTTTACTCGTGCGGAACTTCTTCTGCATCGTAGACAGTGTCTGCTTCACGTCTTCATGCTCCTCAGCACGAGCGTACAAGTCCACCAGATGGAGGTACACGCGTTTCGGGTGATTCACTTGCAACGCGCTCTTGAACACCCGCAGGAAACTTGCATCATCGCCAAAGTCATGCTCCAAGTTCAAATAGGCCACCCACACGTTCAGCTTCTCCTTCTCGTCGCGGAACGATACGGCAGAAGTCGCCCGAACCGCCACGTCACGAGCGAGGTCAACCTCGGTCAGAGACACATGGAAAGCCATGTACTGAATCCACAGGTACGAACTCTGAGGCGACACTGCCAAAAGACGTTCGTAGTCACTGGCATTCTGAGGAGGGACCTCGTCATTGCTAGCGAGAGCCTTTTCACGTAGAGTCACCCATTCATCACTCGGGACACCCGTCTTTGTGCTCGACTTGGCAGACCTGGCAGCTTCCTCTTCGCCATCCGTCTCTGTCTCTGAAGACATCGCATCGTCATCAACTTTGTCGTCTGTCTTCTTGCTCAGCACGCTCAAGAATCCGTCCCAGCTAAACTCGACAGGAGCACTGCTGCTCTCGATCTCTTCTTCCGTCGACGATCCATCGTGACCCGGATCAAGCTCCATTACCACAGCCTTCGACGGCTTCTCCGTCAGCTTCTTGACCGGAACGTCTTCGTCTTCACCTTCGTCATCAACTTCCATCGACTCCACTTGCTCCTCCTCCTCCTCGTCATTGTTATTATCACTACCCTCCGCCTCCTCTTCTTCCTCATCCGACTCCTCTTCCGAGCTGCTCGCCTCACCTTGGAAATACGACGGCTTCAGTCCAAACGACACGCGACGATTCTCAACCTTGAGCACCTTGGCTTTGACGTAGTCGCCTTCCGAGAAAACCTGATCCAGAGGCTGCGTCACCTTCTCGTCCGCAATCTCCGAGATGTGGCATAAACCACTGATCGTGCTCTTCTCGATTCGGACAAACACGCCGTACGCTTGCACCTTCGTGATCGTGCCCTTCACTGTCAGACCTTCCTTGAGGTCGTTCCACTTGAACATTGACACGTCTTCCGAGACGACGGACGCCTTCAAACTGAGCTCTAGACCACGGTCCGACTTCTTCGTCACGCGGCCAGCGACCAACTTGCCACTAGGAAATTGGGTCTGCGGAGCCTTCACAAAGTCGTCGCTGAGATCACGCAGCATCACACGTGCCGTCGAGTGGCGGTCCACGCGTACAAAGCATCCACTCGATGTCGTCGTAGCCACGATTGCTGGCACCAAGTCGCCAATCTTGCGCTCGAGTGGCTTGGCCGTCTTCTTCGCGTACTCCACCGGGTTTGCCAGCGCATCCGCACGCAAAGACAAGTCAATGTGGTTTCCAGCGGTTGAAAGGACAACGCAGCGCACGACTTGGCCGGCAGCAAACTGGGACAGCTCCAGCATGTCATTTTTCCAGTCAGCGAGAAGCTCAGTAACACACACACGACCGAACGTGTGAGCCCCGAGCTGCACCATGATCGACGGTGGACGAACCGCCGACTTTTTGGTCGAGATCACGCCGTTCACAACAGCCCCGGGCTTGAGAACGGCCTTGGTCTGGGCTGACGAAGAGCGGGTGACCGACAAGTCCACCACCTTTTTCTCATCGTCGACTTGAAGCACAAAGCACTGCACGCGCTTACCGACCGGGAACTTGTCTTGAAATGCACGCATCACCTCCACTTCTTCTGACACTTCCGTGCAGCTAAGAGTGCCTGAAACATGGCTGCTAAGCTTGACTGTCAAGTGGTCTGCAGCCTGCTCGACAACAACTCCCTCAACAGAGTTGCCTTCCTTCAGCAGTGCTCGACCCACACTGCCCTCGAGCCAATCTGGACGAGCAAAGCGCTGTACGTCACGCACCTTCTCGTCGCCAGCCACGTCTTCTGTGCGCAGTGACAGCTGCAGGGCATGAAACTTCGCTGGGTTCTCCTCGCTAACAGGCTTGAGTTTGTTGGGTCCTTTTGTGGTCACGGCGATCAGTCGACCCGTGACGGTGGCGTTCACCGAGTACCGGTCAAACGGGTGCGAGTGGCCAGCCTTCTCGTCCATGTCATCGACATCGACGACAGAGACCAACGTCCGGATCTTCCCCATGTTCTTGCTGATCTCGAAGCGAATCTCCATCGAGCTCTCGGAAATGCCCGCAATGACACCGGTCAGCATGTTCCCGAGCACGAAATCAGTCGGTGTGTACTTGGGCAGCTTGGACGTCAACTTGCGAGGAACTCCCTTGGACTTCGAGCCGAGCTTTTCTTCCTCGAGCGCCAGCAACACCAAGCCATCGAACGGCGTTGCAACGGAGCCGCTCTTCAGTGAAGATCGCAATACACGGCATTCCAAAGACGCACCCACCTCAATGCCAAGCTGACTACTCGTTTGGGACGGACACCAGAAGTCGCACAGCTCCAGCACGCCAAAGTGTAACACATCACTGCTTTGTGAATCAGGGAAAGACACCACCGCATACTTTTCCGTGGAGCTGACAGCCACCACAGTAGCAGCTGCGATCTTTTCTCCTGCCTTGATGCGCTGCTTTTGCTTACGTGAGCGCTTCGATCCGCTCTTTACCACAAAGATTCGTCCGTAGCTCCGTAGTACACATTCTTACTGTAATCAAAGTCCGTCAGCAACAGCTTGACAGTGTCGCCTTCGCTCCAACCCTTGGATTCCTCCGTCACCAAAGGGACCAACACCGTAACTGTTTCATCATCCTTCTCCAATGCAAAGATAGCACCGTACGGACGGACACCAACAAACTCTGCCTTTTCTGTCTTACCGAGAGAAACCTGACCTTGCTTCGCTTTGCCAGCGTTGCGGACCGCAGTTTGCTCGCGAAGATACGCCTGGAAGTAGGCTGGTCGTGCCTTGTTTGTACTGTTCGTAGTCTGCAGGAAGCTATGCTGCTGGAAACCAACAACGAACCGCTTCTTCTCTCTGTCAATCTTCTCAACCGAGCACGTCACTGTGTCACCAATTTCAAACATGCCTTCTTCAATCTGCGCAACGAACTGCTCCATGAGGAATCCCTTAGGAGCCACGGCAACGAGGTTGTTCAAAAACTTGACAAAGACTCCCTTTGAGACGTTCACGGACGTCACGTAACCAATCAAGACAGCCTTCTCCTTCACGTCGCCAAAGGTGCGTGGCAGAACGGCATTGCGCGATGCAAACTCGAGCAGGAGCGGCTTCTTGGACAAAGTCAAGACACCGTCAGAATCCTCAGAAAGAACGAGCAGCGGGTCCGTAATGACATCACCAGCACGAAAGCGCTTCATGATCTCATCCACTAGCGACGTATTACGCGGGAAGTCCGTCAGCTGCACAAACGGAAGCACGCCTTCCAGTCCGTCTTTGGTCTGAACGCGAAAGCACGTAGCCTCGACAGCCGTAATCTTGACGTCAACAACCGTCGTTCCCACTAGTTTCGAAGCGCTTTCCGGAGCAGCAGTGGCTGTAGAACCTGAGCTCTTTGACGTCGTATCGAGCGAGAGCATCAATCGTTTCTTGCTCGCATCACTACGTACTACTCGGGTCTTCACAACTTGACCAAGAGCGTAAGCTTCTTCGAGATTCTCAATGCCAGCCTGCTGGAGAACAGCCATCGGCACCAAACCGAACACGTTGTTGTAAAAGCTGACAATGACGCCGTACTCGGCGATCTTCGTGATGAAACCATGGCCAATGAAGCCTGTCGTTGCTTCTTCGAACGAGCTTAGCACAGGAAGCTCCGACATCAACAACCCCGACTTCATGGTTAAGAACGTCTTCTTGGCTTCAAGGTCGACGTGCAGCACACGAGCGGTCGCAGTCTTGCCAACCTTGTACTTGGCACTGTTGTTGGCCTTCTTGTTCAGCAGAAACGCCGGCATGTGCTGCGGAGTTACCAGACCCCGCACACCCTCACTGATTTCCATCAGAATGCCCCACGACTCAACGGACAGAATCTTACCGCTCACCTTGGTTCCTGGTTTAAGATCCTTGTGGCGCAGCACAGTCTGTGAGATCAAAGCTTCCTTGCAGCTCACACTTACAACTGCGTCAAAGGGCGCAAAGCCCAGTACACGGCACTTTATGCTTGCACCCACAGTGAACTTCTTCTCGAGCTTGTCCACACGCTTGTCCGAGACGTTTGATATGTGCACATACCCAGGCGCAAAAGCTCTCCACTTGGCGTTTGTAATCGAATCCTTCTTCGCGCTAGCATCCTCCATCTCAACGTCGTCGGTCTTGCTCTTCAGCGACAACAGCATGCCAATACCAGCATCGATCCGCTCAATGGTAGCATTTTCAATCGTGTCACCTACTGCAAAGGGGGACGACGGCACCTGCAAATGCACCACGTGCGGAGCCATGGACAGTGTGATTTTCTTGGCCACATAGTCAATGGTCATGATGCGTGCACGAGCTTTCATGCCTTTGCGGTAGGCCTCTTCCCATCCAGATTCACAGGGCAAACTCATGTGATTCTGCTCGACAGTGGCTGTGAAAAAGGTCAGGAACGTGACACTCAAGCCAATCGCCAAGACGTCTTCAACACGGACATTGAGCAGCATGCCTGGTACGAGTTGCTTCAGCGTAAAAGAGTCGCCCCGTGTGACTGCTTTGACCACCTGGTTGCGGTCAGTTGTCACAGTGGCTGTGTTCGTGTGCGTGTTCATGGAGAGCACGCTGACAAGCACGTGCTGGCCCTTCACAACAGGCGTTGCAAGCTCTTTGCTGGGTACAAAAGCGTGCACGCCATGGATACCTACGTTGACAATGGCGCCATGATCTTCCACCGATGACACTGTAGCGTGTAGCGAAGCGCCCTTGATGACGCTACTGGGACTGAGCTCGGCGTGAATGAGCGACGTGCGCAGCGAGAGCTGGATCTGCTTATGTTTGTTCGTCTTTGACGTGGATAGCACCACGCAGGGCACAAATTGGCCGACTTGAAAGACAGCGCTGAGTGGCGGCAAGGGTTCCTCGTTCTGCTCTTGCTCTGTCGTTGCAGCCTTCGTGCGCGTCTTCAGCGTCTGTAAGTGCTCGTGAAACTCGTCCGAGCACTCGTCCAGAGATACAGTGCCATTGAGTTTATTCGGCAAGCTAATGAGCAGGTCTTGGCCGTCTGCGACGTGGCGCACACAGCCCAGCAGCAGCATGCCCTTGCGCAGCGTCTGGAAGCTCAGCACCGCAGCAGTAGCAGCTGCTGGGAGCGCGTCTTTGCTGCTGTTGCCATTGCTCTTTGAGCCCACAGTCTTCTGGAGCGTCTTCTTCTTCTTCTTCAACGGCTGCTCCTCAGTCGAGGCGGTGGCCAAGCCGCGTTTGCCAAACAACGCATCACCTGGAGAAGCTACGGACGTGGTTGCATGCTTGGTGTCCGGCAGGACTTTGGACTTCCTGCCGCCTCGTGGAAAGCTTGTCGCTGCCGCAGCTGTTGCGGTTGCAGTCATCGCCATTACGTCCAGGAGGTGCGACGTCGGCCGTGGAATGTCGATGGCCAATGGTTTTTGGCGCGCTTGTCTCTTGAAAGGTATCCAGGAGGAGCTACTTAATCGAGCTGACTGGTTGACACGGAATTGAAAATAGGTCTCTTTTTTGGGTCCTCTCTGTTTTCGAGCTTTGATGCTGTCGAGAAGCAGTGTCACTAGTCGCGTCATATCTGATGCGACTATGTCCAGTAGTGGGTGCTGGCTGTCTGCCGTACTGGCAGGCTTTTTACCAGCATGAACGAGATCGTACGTTCCGAGCGATTTCCTCTCGATCAAGTTCAATGGACCAAGTGACTGACTGCTGCAATCAAACTACGACCTTAAGATGACCGCCTCACACTTCTTCTGACGGAAGCAAACGATACGTAATTGTGCCAGCAAAACCCACGTCCACTCGTCGTGAATGCCCTCATGCCATCCCGATGCCCATTCTAAACGACTTGAGCTCACTATTGTGGCTGGCAACATGCGAGCGTCACAATCAATTGAATAGTGTTGCTGCCCAAAGGTCGTGTAATGGCTCCCCGAGCTCGTCACGCATGTTGTTTACACGATGGCTCAACGAAACTGTAGCAATCAATCACACGGCCAAATGAACACGTTATCCCTTCAGTCGAGAAGAGGCCAGTTAGTATCAACAATTGCGTGTGACGTGCTACGTCGGCCTTGTCAGCAGCTGTGAGGAAGTAGTAGAACTCCAAGAAGAACTTCAAGAGACACACCAAGTCATCGGTGATCCGCAGCGACCAAGTGCTTGGTCCAGTTGTTACAATTGGGCGTGTTTCATTGGGTTCAAATCTCCTCCTTTCTCTGATAAATACCTACGTGTGTGTGTGTGTGCGTGTTGACGACCTCGGCCTTCCCCTCCTCTTGTGCTTCTACGAGGACGTCGACCGAAACCGAAAGTCGCGCTCCCACGCTTAACTGTTCGTCATGTCGTGTCCAAGTACCCGAGCGTCACTTGCAATCGAGCTCGGAGAAAGTCTCTCCTGCTGACGGGTCCAGCATCCACGCACTGAGTTCGCATGGAAACTGCTCGTCCTCGGCCTCGGCCGCAACTTTCACAAGGGTGACGCTCACGACAGCACGCACGACTTGCTTGCCAATGTCAAGTGCGAGCAGCTCGGCGCGTGGCATCTTGGTCTGCTCCTCCGAGAGCACCATGGCCGACTTGAGTTTCTGCACGGCGTACTTGCCTGTAAACGCTTTGGGGAACTGGAAGCGACACACGGGACACGTGCTCTGGGTTTGCAGCCACGACGAGATGCACGGGTAGTGGAACGAGTGGCTACAGGGCAGTCGCACGTGGCCGTCGCACGGGTTCTCGCTCATGCAGATGACGCACTCGTCGCCCTCGTGCATCTCGGCAGTCTCTTGGCTCTCCAATTCGTCCAGAATCGACTGGTCAGCAGGGGACGAGCTCTTGAGACGCGGCGACACGTACCGCATCATGAACCGCACCCACGTGGTTGACCGGAACATCTCAAGCACGTCACGCGTGACCGCACTCGCCGGAGCGTGGTACTGCACTTCGACGTGCACTGTGATGTCCATGGGAAGAACTTCTGGCTGTGGTTCGCTCGTGATGGCTCGAGTGCTCTCGTCGTGGGATGTTGGTGTACTGTTGAAAGAGATGGTGGAGGTGCTGGAGAAGCAGTGGCTCCAGCTCGCAGCAACACGTCCGCCCGGCTCTAAAGAAAAGCAAAAGTGAGCTCGAGGCCGGCAGCGAGCCATGTACGACAGGCAGACGAGCGAGTGTCTCCTCCGCACCTTTTTCCTGCTGGCCGGGCTATGGCCGCCCGTGAGCAGTTTCGAAGAGTCACCACAAGCAGGCGCGTCTTGTGCATTGCCAACGCACGTCGTACGTTGTTCCATCTCGTCGTCTATCTATTTCTTCACGCATCGATCTCTTTCTCAGTCGATGGCCATGTCTCTGCTGCTGAGACTGCTGGTACTGAGCCGCCCAGACGAATGGCGAGAAGACAGCTCGAAAACGAGACGAGCGCTTCAACAACTGGTGGTAAGCTCGAGTGAACTGGCTGGCTCTGCTCGGAGCTCGGAAATGGATACGACAAGACATCTCCAAACCGGGATGCACCGCTCGGACGGTAGTCGGTAGTCGATGCCAGCTGCGAACGAGCGACTGATTGGCGCAGATCGCAGCACGACCTCGATCAAATCTTCGGAGCCCGTCGTCCACTCACCTACGCACATTGGCGTCGACCGATCCGTAGCTGGCATCTGAGCTGAGCTCGAGTCGAGGGATTCGTATCGTGTGCGAACGCCTGGCCTGTGAGTACGGGTTACCGTGGGACGAGGCAATGTCTCAGCAATCAACCAGCCAGTTAGTCAGTCAGTCAGTCGAGCAGCGACATTGACGTACACATCCTATCGGGAGCGAAAGGTTTGGTCAAGCACAGATCGTGAACAAGTGCTGTGGTCAAATCAAGGTTTCCTCTTCACCCGTCAAGAGGGGGGGGGCAGACATTCATTTGTAACGCACGACAATGCCCTGGCGAGTTACCGCAGCAGGTAGCACTGTCATCGATCCCTACCGTTTTGTGGTGTACACGCCGTCGAGTGATCTCAGTTCGTGATTGCACGCGCAAGTAGAACAAGCACGACTCGCTTATTCAATACATGGAAAAGCTTCATGACGCGTTAACGTCGTGCACTTCTTCTGCTGCATGTTGTCTTTGCCTCTTCTTGGCAGTCTCTACTAATCGTTGATGTGATCGCTGCGCAAACGGGTGATCCGGCTGGCAGGCACAATTTGGGCGCTTCGTATGCTCGAGGCAAGCAAGACTGAGGTCGGGTCACATCTGAAGGGACAGTAAACCGTGACAAAAGCTCGACTAGGACGTAGGTCTCCGCGTAGGAGACGAGTGTTCACTACGCAATTGCGCTGGCTGGGAAGATAGCGTGATAAGCGGCGTGTATATCGAGGTCTGATAGATTGCGGACCAACTTTGTACGAATGGCTGCAGCTGGACATGTAGATCTTATAGCGTCCGGAGAATCGCTACGTCACTTCTATCGAGCAGAGCTGGTCGACGTCACCCCTCAGGATCGTTGCAGACGTCGTCGGCATCTTCTGTCCCACGCACTTAGTACCTGACAACCTGAGTACTCTTTACTGTTGTAACGCAAGTGCTGTTTACATGCTTGAGCCTCTCAATGACGAGAGCAATTAGCAGGAAGAAGAGGAATAGGAAGTGAAAGGAGGTTGCTGCAAAGGGTTGACCCTAAAAATAAAGCGCTTTGTGGATCACGTAGTGGTGGCTTCTTTGCAAGCTCAGAGTGATCTGAGGATCCATAGTAAAGCCGCGCTGGACCAGACATAGGTCTGAGAATCTGACAGTAGCAACAAGTGACGATAGCGTGTGTGCCTTCGTATACTGTACTGGTCAATATCACATAGTGCATTCACTCTCGCGAGAAAAAGTCGTGTTTACTTATGATATCGCATACGTCTCCTCATATCGCCTTTGGAAGCATGTACTCCAGGTCATCGTTTCCCGATGGCCATCGAATTTACCATGTGGATCTCATCATGATTGGATGCAATTCCCGCTGACCCGCGACTGCGTCAGATATGAGAACGGAACAGGCTGTCTTGTCACCTTACGGTTTGCAAGATTGCCGATCTGCCCCGCCGGAAACAGGCGGCCGATCTCCGCTCTGACGCCCGGACATAGGAGTGGTGCTGTTCGAGATAGCACTGCTGCTTTGTACGCGAGTAATGGCGGGCTAAACGACCACTCGGGTTAATAAACCATAATATACGCCCAACACTTTGCCGCTGCCTCGCATTCCCAGATGATATGACCAATCCTTCATACTGTCCTCGACAAGCCACATAACGTGTGCACGATGAGTCTTGTGCTCGACCCGGTTAGTATAGATTTAACTGATGGATAGCAATCCGGTATGATGTTCCCACACTGGGACTAGAACCCGGGTCTGCTGGGTGAAAGCCAGCTATCCTGACTGTCTAGACTGTATAGGAAAGCTCCTGCGTCAGATATAATAAATTACTTCGCAACAGGTCGAGTGACCGGCGGTACTGAGACGGTGATAGATCCGATCGAGCGTGTTGATTAGAAAATGATCCGACAAAAACGGGTCAATACGAACTATTGCAGTGTCCTTCCATCGTAGCAGTAGGAGCTCCAGCACATGACCGTGTCATCAAGAAGCCTAACCAAAGCTCCTTCGATCGGTCCACTGCTATTCCAGTTCGAGATACTCCCAGTGTGTCCTGCTTTCTGTTGCTCAGAAGGAGCAAATCTCGGACCAGACATTAGGACAGCGTCGGATATTGGAGGCAGTGTCGACTCCTCCTTTCACACGGCTGTCCATGACGTGCAGATTCTTGCTCACGGGTAGGCTTTACGACCCATGAGATCAGGCCTGGCGTGACAAGGCGTGGTCGCCTAGACTATTGTACTCCGAGAGCTGGGTAGGCACTCGCAGGTATCAGTAGCAGGATGCCGGTCCGTTGATTACCCCGTTTGGCTTGTCAGAGTACGTGACCCACTCGCTACGATCGGTTCGCCAAAGAGCTTCCGGTTGGCGCTTCAACTGTGTGCCCTTTGCCAACGAGTTCTCAGTCTTGATCTAGCCACTGCTTTATTCACAAGCAGCGCATTTCATGCTTTCGAACGGCTGAGGCTGTGTCATCCATTGAGCACGGACCTTGATCTCGAGCGTGCAGATCGATCCCTCTTCGAACCATACTCCGTTCAAACAGTGACGCTGTCCATGTACGTTGGCTAGTCAGTCGCTCATGCGAAGCAAACATCGATTGATAGGGTCCAAGGTTGATTAGCTTCCGTTCCAGACTTTTCAAGCACGAAGTACATTTAACGTCATGCAGAAGCTCTACTAGGGGAGTATCACCGAGCATGTATAACGGGTGCAGTAATCCACATTGTGGCGGCCCGTTTCTGGTCAAGCGCTGTAATGAAGACACACTTGTTCTGTGACTATGTCTTACCACTCACCACTACTTTATCCTGTATATCGCTCAAGTGCAGCGTTATGGCATTAGCCGAAGCTGAGCTCAAATAGGGACATCACGATGAGCAGCATAACTTGCTCGATAAATCGAGACAAGGTTTGGTTGATTAGGCTCTATCGATCACGTAGTTCTACTGGAACTGCACCAAGAAGTAGCCACGTTGCCAACGTTGTCGTCACTCTGTTGTTACTATCGCTCGTCTCGGGAACGTCATGTCTGACATCATAAATTCTAGTGCCGTTGTCCTCAGTGATAGAAGGCATCATCGGGAGACGATTGGATCCAGATCAGGTCTCGTGGGTCGGTGCCTTTTGCGATGGCGTGCAGCCGAAGGAGTCACAAAAAGCCTGAGCGGCTGCAGAGGTGATGGCTGAACGACGTGTCATTGAAAACACGACGCACTTCCGAACGGTATATTGTCAGCAGGCCCACCATCGTCTGCCTGTTGATTCCGTGTTCCGACGTTGATGATCGTGATCGTGTTGCCAATGTTGATGCCACCCAAGTTTGCCGAGACGCTGGACTGTTTCTCGATCACTGGCGCATCGATGGCACTTTCGAGAGTGTCCCTGGAATCGCCTACATCCTCAACAGCGTCGTTGCCTTTGTCATCGCCATTGTCGTGGTGTCTGATGATCCGCGCCATCGTCGATCACACGGTCATCGTCATCATCATCCATCTTATGGTTGTGGTCGTCGTCAGAGTCACCGCTTTCATGGTCGTGATCATTTCCCGGTTTGGAGTGGTAGAGGGACCGCGGCTTGGATGAGGATGATCCTTCTAGTGCTTGAGCAGAGGATGGAAACGATCGACGTCATGACGTTGGGCTTTTCCTTCGTCTCTGGGCCCCGTAACGTGCATGCCATAAAAGCTTTTTTCTCTATCCCTCACCTTGCTCTCGAAAAACTTCCGCCAGCTTCCAACGAGTAAGCACCGTAATGTGTAGCAGCCATTACAACCATGATCAAGGTATACGTTCTTTTCGTTCGTGCTACCAACTTGAGTTCGAGCAGACACCGACGTGATGGCGAAGAGAAGGCATCCGGTGGTGCATTCATGGCATGATTAATAAACTTCGTCACGCCACCAATCCATCGTGCATCAATCACTCCATCCGGTCTCTATTCCTTCGAAAACTTGTCTGCGAGCATCGATCAAAACTCGTATATTAACGACACCAGTTATTTCTACTGTGCCGAGTCATCGGATGTCTCCGACGAACTCGAAGAGTTTTCACGTGGGCGTTTGTTGGTTGGGCTAGTAGGTGGCTCCGAAATCGGTGGCGATCCATACTTACCAACGGCATATGACTTCTTCATGCCCGCCATGCACCGACGCACTGCGATTTTGTGATCCACAATGGGGAATGGATAGTCTTTTCCAATAAGGCAGCCTGCGGCATGTTGAACGGTCATTGGCGCTTTCCAGGGCTCATAGATGTACTTGACCGGCATCTTGCTCAGTGCAGGCACGTACTTGCGAATGAACAGACCCTCGGGATCCCAGTTTTTGCCGAACGTTGACGGGGAGTAGACGCGGAAGTAGGCTTTGAAGAAATAGCTGCTGCTAAGCCAGAGCCAGTTGCCGGCATTGATACCCCAGTCGTGGTCAATCAGTAGTTCCTGGAAAACTTCAAGCCCACGAACCCATGAAATGTACAAATTGCCACGAGTAAGGAAGCACGCGACCGAGTGACGGGCTAAATGATGCATCCACCCTTCTTTCTTCAGTTGAATCATAATGGCATCGATCCACGGGAAACCAGTCTGCCCCTCTCTCCACGCTTTGAATTGTGAGCGTGCAAGCTTGTCGTCGTCCGTCATATCCTCTTCCTTCTCTGGAATCTTGTGCCATCTCCAGTCAATTTGCAGACAGGTAGGACTTTCCTCCATTTTGTCAAAATATGGATTGGCGTAGCCGTGACAATGGAAGAATTCCCGCCACAACAGTTGGCCGTCTAAGCTTACAGGGGTAGCGGAAAGTGCCTTGGCATGGTTTTCTTGAATGCTTCGGACGTGATGCAAGAATGTCCGTGGACTGATGCAACCGAAGTACAAAAATGGACTCAGCGATGTTGTCGAAGCGGAAGGGGTCGTCTGTGCTGGAGACGTCTTGGGCTTCTCAAACTTAACCACGCGGCCTTCATTTCGACAGTAATCACGCAGGATGCTCAGCGCAATCTGCTCGCCGCCATAGATAAACGGATGTCGCTCGGGTACGTCGTAGCCAAAGTCAGCCACTTCAGGTAGTGCAAACTGCTGCTCAGAGCCCGCGATCTCTCTCAGCTCTTTGTCCATTTCTCCTGGGTCATCTGGCTCGTCTTCAATCACTTTCTCTGTACCATCCGACGGCAGCACGATTTCATCAGCCTTTGCACGGTTCTTCCAGTAGTCGACCACCTGCTGATACAATTCACTTGGTAGGAAGACAAGAGGAGGCACTTTTTCCGGCGTCGGCAACGGCTTCGGCGGCTCCGGCTGCATGGCCAGCGCCCGCAGAAACGCCGTGTACGTCTTGGGTGGTTTACCTCCGTTTCCTGCAATTATTGCGTCAAAGTCATAGAGTGAATAGCCGTTTGTCAACTGTGTCTCAATGCCCAGTCGCGTCGCCAGTGCCACAACGCGGTTGTCTCGCTCCATCGCGAACGGTTCCGTCGCTGCATCAAAAAACAGGTGCGTGACGCGCCACGCTGGTAAGAGCCGCCGCAGCACTTTCACACCGTCCCCTTGTGCCACCACAAGTCGCGAGCCTCGAGCTGCTAAGGCATCAGCCAAGTCGGACACGCTCTCCAGCATAAACTGGAAGCGGTTCACGCCGCACAACATGATCTTCGGGCGGTGTACAATGTACAGCGGAATGAGCACCACTCTGCGTCGCGATTTCTGCGTCCTTTGGTCCCCTCCTTCTCTCATTTCTACATCCTTGCTCTCCTCCTCTTCATCTTGTACTTGCTGGACCAATTGCAGCGCCTTAGTAAGCGCGAGGTTGTCGTGAAGTCGAAGATCGCGTCGGAACCACACGAGGACTCGAATCCCGTCGTCCGCATCGGCTTCAAGAGCGTTTCCAGCTCTCAGGACCTCCTCCACTTGACCTTCCGTCGTTAAAACTGACTCCAGAGGCAAATCAAGCGACGAGTCGCTCGTTCCAATCGATTCGAACGTGAGGTCCGATGGCGCATGAATCGCAGCGTCTACTGCGTCGAGTGCCGCAAAGTCCAGCGCCGCTACTGGCAGATCCGAGTCGACGTCAGCAGCTTCGAGTAAAGAGGACGCAAAGCTGACGAGATCTGCGTCGTCAGTGGCGTCAGGAGCGTCTGCAAGCGCTTGCGGCGCCACGGAGCGGTCCGTCATTGATCGGATCGAGGACGAGGAGGACAAATGAGAAACGCCGTGCTCTGATTGGTAGAAAGCGCACTTCAAGGTGCAGTCTGCTGTGGTCCACTTATCCTTCCTTGAAGAGCTCAATTACGGTCGCTGCTGAGATCTTGAGATCGACGGATGGTATTAACAGGAAGTTTAGTATTGATCCAATGATGTGTATGCATCTAGGCACTGGTAAAGAAGCTCACGTGTACGTCTCATTAACTCTCGTCAAAGTTACGGTCTACGAATGACTGGAGTGCGTGCGGTGACTTGAGTGCTTGTGGGTTGCCCACGTGTGGGGAAAAGAGCTCGGCTTCCTCCAAGTAAGTTTCGATAAACACGACTTTGTTCTTGTTCTTGAGGTGCGCAAAGACGCCCAAACCGATGAGGGCAAGAGGGACGCCAAGGTCGGTGACGAGCCACATGGTGTGAGCTCCATAGTGCTGGTAGAAGTAGCCGCCAATAAGAGTGCCCATGCCCCGTGCGAGCCCATTTTGCACCGAATTCAATATACCCATGATAGTGCCCTCACAGCCAGGAGGAGCTGCTGAGTACACGTACTGCGTACACGCAGCCCACGCCAATCCGTAGGTTACACCATGCAGAAACTCAAACGGAATAGCACCCCACGCATTGGTCATGACCGCGTAGTAAGACACGCGAAGCGCGTAGCCAATGATGGACATCAGCAAGACGTTCACAATGCCGAAGCGGTTGATGATCTTGTGCGAGTAGAAAAACGCGGGCAGCTCAGATGCAGTCTCGCACATGATGGCGATGCCCACAATCTCCGCATTCTCACCCGAGATGTTGTATAAATTCAGTGTGAGGAAGCTCGACAGCACGCCGTACATGAGTCCCATGAGGAACACGACGCCAAAGAGCACGAGCACGTCTGCCATCTTGCAAATCATCCGGACATTCTCGAGGAACGACGGAGGCGGTCTCACGTCACCCGATTCCAGCACAGCTTCCGCCATGAGCTGACTGTGCTGCATGGGCGGGATCGTGCGTAGTACAAACAACGACGTCAGTCCAAGCAAGGAGCTGACGTTGAAGGACCACGAGATGCCCGCGACCGTGACAATGAGACCCGTGACATATGCCCCGACGCCGTACCCGAGTGCCCCAAAGAGCCGCTGCTTACCGTACTCGCCGCCCACCTTGTCAAGCAGATTGAGCACCGTGTGATCGAGCAACGAGCCTGTGGGTGACACTTGAAAGTTCGACATGATAATGACGACAATCATCCACTCGAAAGACCAATAAAAGAACCGGACGGCAAACATGAGGAACGCGCCCGTGATGATACAGAAAATGTGCACAAGTCGCTGGTTCTGGATGCGGTCAGCGACCACGCCCCAGAACGGCGGCGCCAACATGGTGCAAACGCAGGGCAAGGTCTGCAATAAGCCGATCTGCACCTTGCTAAACTGCGCCGTCTGCTGGTAAAAGATGCTCAGAAAGTTCGTCTGGGCGGACGTCCACGCGTTGCTGGTCAAGTACATGAGCTTCGGCTGCCACAGCGTGTGGGCAGAAGTGCCAGCAGTGGGCTGCGCGGGAGCCACCAACGGCGTCTTGCTGTTCGTCTTGGCTTGGCACATGGAGAAGAGCGAGAAATCCTGGAGAGACGAGCGGGGTCGAGCCTGAATCAGGCACTTGAGACGTTCACGGAAAATTGGCGACTGGTGGCAAGTCGAGGAGCTCTCTCGACTCTACTGGCTGGTTGGTTGTTACGTGCGACCCTTCAAAAATAAAGTCGTTGTCAATAGTGGCTCACCCCCCCCTCGCCATCTGGCTGGCCAGACTGAAAGTTCGTACGAGATAGGACGGACATCGTCTATTTGCAGCTTCTGCCCATCACTATTGGGCTCTGGCGGACTGAGGCCACGGTTCTTGTCCACCAATCAGATACGGAGGTTGTCACTCATGGTCGCTCATTGGCTGACGCTCGAGCTCGTGCTAATCAGGTCGGAACCTCTCGCAGCCATCGAATTGGTCGTCACACGTCACATCTTTTTGGTATCATGAGCTCTTCTCCCTCGACCTTCGCTGGTCTCCGGGAGCTTCTGACCGATACGAACCGCGTCGTGATTCTGGACGGAGGATTTGCCACTGAATTGGAAAAAGATCCGCGTGTTGATCTTAGCACCAGCGCCTTGTGGTCGGCGTCGCTGCTTCTGGATCGGAATCGGCACCTCCAGTCAGTGATTGAGAAGGCGCATAAGACTTACTTTCTAGCAGGAGCTGATGTAGCCACTACTGCCAGTTACCAGGCGTCAGCCGAAGGACTGAAGCGCGAAGGTGTGACGAAGATGGAGGATATCGAGAGGCTCTTTGCCAAGAGCACTGATCTGGCTGTGCAGGCGCGGGATGCTGCATGGAAGGAGCTGGATCAGAGCAAACGTATCAAGCCGCTGGTGGGTGCAAGCATTGGCTGCTACGGCGCTGCACTGGCGGACGGATCGGTGAGAATATGACAGGATGTGCAGTGAGAAACAGGAGAAAGCGGCGACTAATGAGCTGGTCGATGGTTGTGGACAGGAGTACCGCGGCGAGTACAACAAGAGCAAAGAAGAGCTTGTAACGTGGCACCGACATCGCTTCGCGTTCTTTACGAACTACGCACACGCTGATCTGTTGATTTGTGAGACGATCCCGTGTCTTGTTGAGGTGGCGGCATTCGTCGACTTGTTGAACGAGTTCCCGACTGCTCATGCTATTCTTGCAGTGGCCTGTCACAACGGCACGGAACTCAACAGTGGCGAGCCGATTGCTCATGTCCCGAAGCTTCTGGCCAAGCTGAAGGATCCGTCACAGCTGCTTGCTATCGGCATCAACTGCACACCGCCGCAGCACGTGGAAAGTCTTTTGCGCGAATTGAGCTGTCCGTGGCCGAAGGCCGTGTACCCAAATAGCGGAGAAGCATGGGATGGAGTGAACAAAGAGTGGCTTCCGGCCGATAGCACCGGTAGTGCCAGCTCTTGGGAAGAGTTCGTTCCGAGATGGTACGATGCGGGTGCACGTTTCTTTGGCGGCTGCTGCCGTACGTCCCCTGACGACATTCGCGCTATCCGCGAGTACTTTGAGCGTCGTCATCTAGTGTAAATTCCAGACAAAGTCCCTCGCCATTGAGACAATCAGTTTCGTGCTGTTGGGGCGATACAATCGGCGATGCACCCAACTGCAAAGACAAACGGAATACAAGCGTTCGCGTGACACGGCTTGTATGCTTTGTTGGTGGACAGCAGGCGGTGTACACCGGCAAGATCGCAAGGCCTGATTATCAAACAAAAGTGTCGGGTATGGCTGTCACGACTGCTTCAAGTGTTATAGTTTGCGCTTGCTGCACGTGAGGATAACTTGCTATTGGTACACTGTGCAGCGAATGTCCTTACGCCCAGGGACTAGTCATACCTTATTACGCGCACACCCTATTACATCGCTTTGCTTGAGTTGTCTGTCTACCGAAATGTTCGTGCTGTTTGCTGCAATGTGAATGTTCCAGGACATTTGACAATGCCAGTAGTGAATTCGTCATATGGCCTGCTTAATATGGTGATAAGAAGTGCATGTCATCAGCAATAGTCGGTGATTGCTCTCTACGGCATAGCACAAAAAGCCATCGGTTGATGCGTTAGGCCAATGCCTGGACTTCAACATGTCCTGGTCAACACTGCACTCGTGAACTATCAACTGTACGACCTCTTGCAAACAGAACACTTGCAGATGGAATGAAATGCGGTTCGTGAAGCACTGGTACTGATGATCTCTCGGTCACTTGCGTCGAGTTATATAGTGTGAGGCGCTGGAAAACTGAAGACAGTCGCTCAGCTTACGACAGCAGCAGCAGCAAGATCCTTGCACGCCAAGACGTTGAAGATAGCGAATACGTCATTACGCTTCGATACAGCGGGCGTTCGTTACGCATGCCCGCATTTAGTACTGAGCAAGGCAAAACGGGCGTTGGCGGAACTGTAAGAGACAATCGCGGTGTCGTTTCCAACGGCCTGATGACTTGTACGTACAGTTTATCAAAAGTGTGACCGAATGAACGAGCCTGACGCGAAAAGAATGGGTTCGGCTGTGATTCCAGCCTTGAAGACCTAAGGTGTCGTGTCATTCTAGACATTCTAGGCACGAATGATGGCGAGCGATGACTTACGCGGTTGAATGCAAGGAACGATTGAGAGCTGAATTTACAGTCCCGTCTCAAGACGTTTCTGAGCATTTATCGACTTGCAACGTCAGGGTCGATACTTGTCGATGTTGTGCTGCAGCGTCTAGCAGGAAATAGGGACGCTTCGGTTACTTCATCTCGTGAATAAATAATCGGACGGCTATGGCACGATGACCAATACGTGGCACCAAAAGGCAGACACGTTGTCCACTGCATTAGCCTCTTCCGCAGGTTGCCATCTCCTGACGGCCCGCAGATGGCAAAATTTAGTAGCGAAGCATCACCAGGAGAGATTCCGTGCCGCCGCAACACTCGTAGCCTCATACCCGCATCTTGGAGGTGACGTTGCTCACGACTGCGAACTCGATGTAGGGCCTCTGTAGCTGTAGCACATATCGTCAGAGTCCCAGGGCGAGGGATCGCCTGCTTCCATGTCACCTGTCGGTGCAGAAGTGCTCGATCCTGGGGTTGTGGTAGACTCCGTCTCACTGTCGGAGTAAGCTTGACCCATGCTAGCTAAGCAACGCGTCATAGCATGCTTGAAATCAATAATGGGGAAGGGGTAGTCCTTACCGATCAGACAACCCGCATTTCGCTGTTCTTTCAGCGACGATTTCCATGGCTCATGCACGTACTTGTCCGGCATATTCCGCAGCGCAGGGATATACTTGCGGATAAAGCGACCTTGCTTATCCCATCGTCGAGGGAACGTGGACGGAGACGCCACCTGGCGGTAGTTTGAAAAGAAGCAGCTCGCGCTCACCCAAAGCCAGTTCCCAACATTGATCGGCCAGTCCATGTCAATGGTCGTCTCCTGGAAGTGTGTCGCACCGCGCAACCACGAGATGTAAAGCCCTCCACGAGTGAGGAAGCACGCTACAGCATGGCGTCCTGCATGATGCGTCCAGCCTTCCAGCTTTATCTGTCGCATCACGGCGTCAATCCACGGAAACCCCGTGCGTCCATCCTTCCAGCACTGCAAATGATACATTGCAAGCTTCTCCTCGGCGTCGGTCGTACCGAGTAGACATTGCTGGTCTAATTCCGGATGTGATACATACTCTTCACCAAGCAGCCTCCAGTCGACCTGCTTGCAAATCGGGTTCCGTTCCAGCGAGTCAAAGTCAGGCGAACTACAGGCATAGCAGTAGAAAAACTCTCGCCACATGAGCTGGCCTTCCAGTGTGACTTGAGTGGGACCAGGGCGATTCCGGAAATGCAGCTGGATGTACATGATACGGTAGAAAAACTCACGTGCACTGAGACAACCAAACGTCAGATACGGACTTAACGTCGTCGTTGATGCAGCGTCTATTGCAACAGGTGACGTCTTCGGCTTTTCAAAGAGCCCAACACGTCGTTCGTCCTTGCAAAATGCATCCAGTCTCTTCATTGCTTCGCTTTCACCGCCGATAAACGGCGTGTGAGGGTCTGGAGGCGTCAGTCCAAGCTCGGTAAGGTGCGGCACGGCAAACAACTCCAAACCAGCATGTGCCGTGTCAGAGTTCACCCCAGCCATGACGTGCGCAGCGCTGCTGTCGTGTTGACAAAGCATTGCAAACAACTCGTTGGTACTAAATGCTGCTGCATTCAACAGCGAGAGCGGGGCTGCAATAGGCACTGCTGGCTGTGCCATCTTGTCAGTAATCTCCAGCAGCCGCTCGTAATCTGCAGGTGGCTGACCACCGTTCTTGTCGATAATCTCGTGTGGATCGTACAGCGTGACGCCCCGAAACGACTGTGTCTTGATGTTAAGAGACGCAGCAATTGCACGGACGCGGTCGTCCCGCGCGACAGCATAATGCACGACCCCCTCCTCGAAGAAAAGGTCCGTGGCGCTCCAGGCTGCCATCACAGCAGTCAAAACCTCCTCCGCGTCGCCGCGCAAGACAAGCAACCGGCCATTCAGCGCTGCAAAGGACTTGGCCAAGTCCGCGACCGACTCGAGCAGGAACTGGAACCGCACGGCGCCACAGCGCTGCCGTTTTGGACGGTGGACAATGTAGAGCGGCAGAAGCGCCATCTCGTGTCCACCAGCGTCCTGCTGCGCGCGAATCGCGCCGTCCAGCGCCACGTTGTCGTGCAGTCGCAGGTCGCGTCGGAACCAGATGATGGCGCGTCGCGTCGGACGCGTCCGAGCCATTTCGTCGTCCTCTTGGGTCGTCCTCATGTCGCGCGTAACGTATCGGTCGCTGCCGTTGCTATCGACGCTGCAGACGCTCGTGTCGTGGTCCATTGCCGTCGAGTCGGACGGCAATGCAGCGAGGTCGGCGTCGGTACTTCGGTGACGTTTTCGAGCCATTGACGCTTGAAGTGGCAGGGAAATCTCGACGGAAGGTCTCAATTGGATCGATTAATGAACCGACTGATGGTCGTGTCCGCTTTGCAGGAACCACCGAATCAATGTGTGGCCTGCAGCCTCGTTGGGTGGTTGAGTGAGGACGAATTCGATTGTGTTCACATAGAGAACGTCGTCGAAGGGCTGGACGACCCGTTTGACGCTTTTACGACCGACAGAAACAGCTGCGAATGGCGAACGTTCCTTGACTTGCAGCTGGGCGCGGGAATGACGTCACGAAATTCGAACTTCAGCTTTCGATTGCCGAAATGGCTGCAGTTGACGACGATCCGGGACCTTGTGTTTTGTATGGCAACAGACTGGCAGGACTGGGAGGAGGGTACCGGATGAGACGAGAAATAAGGTGCACGACGATGTGCATCGCAACACACGAGCTGATGATTGCGCTTTTGTGACTAAAACACAGCACGAAATAGCATTCTGCTGTGTCCCGCAAAAAGCAGTTTCGATCAGGCGATCAAATTACAGCAGGCGGATAAGACATTTACAGTCTTGGCGACTTTTAGAAACGAGCATGTCACAGAAAAAGCGAACGACGCTGATACCATTTCTCATGCAAAATCTAATTAAAGAGCGGATCATTCGAATCTATGCACAATACAAACCCTAAAAAAGTTGTAGCGTCGAGCGTTGGGCGACGACTAACGCAGTTCACTTAAGAGCATTATACTCGCGTGCTAAATTGCGTTCCACGCACATGGGATTGAGGATACGCAACAAAGACGAGTGAGTCTGAGTCATGACAAGCTTCTTGTACGATACCACTGCTGCTTGTTCACAAGATAGTAACCGTGCATTACCGCATCATTCTTACCGCCGAAACTGCATGCGGAACCGTCAGCATCCAACCCTTTATTTTGTGCCGTATGCACACTTGCAACACGAAGCTGCACATTCGAGTGTCGACTGCTCATTCTCATCCATTCATAGCCATCTTTGCGTCCGTGTGCCGCGCGGATGGTCCGTGACCACGCAAGCAGGCAAAAACGTAGATAGGACATGACGGCTGGCCGCGTCCCTCTTGCCGCGCGTCGTCATTTCGGCGATCGCCGAAATGACGACATTTCGGCATACGCCCTTGCAATGGACGTAGCACAAACGTGATGCTTACGTCCGTGTGCTTTCTTTTTACAGAAGACTCACCTCGAGCTTATGCAAAGCTAGTGTGTTCTCCGCCTTGTCTCATCGGTACCACTGGCTAACACCCAGTGCTTCTCGTTTCCTTGGCGTTTATGTCGGTATCAGAACCGACACAACCGTGAGCTCATCTTCAATTGAGTCGATGATCCTCTAACAGTTTTGCTCTTTTATTACGCGACCGACGTGCAAAACTAGGTCCCCTTCAACATCAGACTCCTTCGTCTTGCATCTGAATTGCCAACATAGGCTAGAATTGAGATTTGTACGAGAACAATTCAGCATAGAAGAGCTGACGAGAATTAGCGGAAGCGAAGCGGTTGCATCGTAAGCAGTTTCAATGTTTACTTTCGGGCGACATCTTAACAACTAGCTGCTTCCACCTCGAATCCAGCGCATGTTGGTTCGACACGCATGAGCCCATGTGTAGAGGATCACGACTGATGACGGTGATGTGCGTGTCGTGAAAAGAGCAACTAGCATGGGCAGTGAGTGGTCTTCGAACTATCTGGATGAATTGATGAGGGGCATTACATGTTCATTTTGGCAGCAGCACAGAGAAGTGATTGAGCTTTCGTTGTACCATGGACGACTCTGACTCTTACGGTCGAGTTGTTCAAGTGCTTGAACTATTTCTCGAGAGCGCGCATCACCGATGATTATGCCAGTGGCGGTGATGATGGAGCATTACACACACGCAGCAATTGCGCTCAATCTCTCCGAAGCGCAGTTGATACTCGCTGCCTTTGCACAAATTTGCCCCACCTTCGTCACAGGGCACATAACGGAGCTGAAACCTCGTTGTAGGAATTATCGGGAATCAAATTGAGCTCAACTAGAATGTGTTTGTCAGGTGCTGCTGCGGATTGTTTCAGCATCGTGAGAGTCCCTCACTATTGGACGTTGTCGACACATTTTAGGCCTCATCTCGCCAGCGAGTAACCTGACTATTTAGGATGGCTTGTTACGCACGCCGAAGCAAAGACGTCTATTGATGATAGGAAGGATGGAGTACACGGCAGCAACAGTGCGCGATTGAGTCAAGTAGGAGTCGTCTGGTGAGCGGCTACGTCGTTCACTAATAGCGATAGCTCCAACGATCAGTCAGAAGTGGATTGAAACGCTACAAAGACTACCGAAATGGCAACTGGGTATCCGAACCTCCTGAAGCCATTAGCGGACACGTGTATTCGCGCGCATCAAGGTCAAACTAATCGCAAGACGGTGTAGATCATGAGTATACAAGGTTTCCAACCCGGCGTATTGGTCAAGCATCGACCCTACCAATCACTGTGGGATCGATCTTCTTTAGCGACGAAAAACAGTCTCATAACCTTAGTAGTCTTCATGACACTCCGAAGCATCTGATAGCAGAGAGCGAAACAACCTGTGGAGGGGATGATCTCAAGCGAAACAAGACATCTCGATGCCAAAAGCGGCCAAGAATAAAAGAAAAAGAAAGTAAACATTGAGAAGGAAAGTGCAAGATAGTAGCAAAGTCGAGAAGGTTCAATGTGTAAATTATGGTATCCAGTCAACTTTCGGCCGAAATGTGGTCGAAAGTGCGAAAGTAACGTGAAATTTTGGCTGTAAATAGGCAGAAAAGCAATCGTTCCAAGCTGTGGCTTTTTGCTTTTTCATGGTATGTAATAATTGATCAGAAGTAAAGTATTTTCTGCAAACTGATGCATGTACGACCATCTTTAAAAGCAACGTATTGTTGACACCTTTGCGAACCTATCCTTGGTTGTGATGCCAGCGCGGACAGTACGTTAACGACGGAACCAACGCAAAGTTAGGTAAGAGCAGTATAGACAAGGTGAAGAGAAGATACAAGTAGAAAAAACATGACGTTACACTCACTTCGGTCTTAGTCATCACTCACTTAAGCAGGTCCAATTCCTCGAGGCTTTGAAAGGTAATGAGCCCAAAGTATTCGATTAAGCTGCTATCAATCAGCCTCCAGCGTCACGCACGCCTCAAGCCGAAGGAGCCAGCACAGGCTTTAGCGCGCTCGAGTCCATTAGCTCGCTGCTAGACTTAATGACAAATATTCAGAGTGAAAAAAGCGCTTTTCTTAGCAGACTAAAAACTTGACAAGTTGAGGGTTAACAAACTTCAGTGTGCTTGTGTGACAATTTAAGCTCATCGAAGCAAGATGGAAAGTAAAATTAAAAGCGAGGGCTAGTTTCTGCTACTGCTGTTTCTTAGCTATACAGTAGCTAAGCAACCGTTTGTGCGAGCGGTGATGCAGCTGCTTGCAGAGCTACCGACTAACTCGTACTTGTTGTAAAGTTGTGAGTAAAAATATGGGTATCCGGACCGTATACTATGGTTCGGACTGTATGCTATGGACCGGATGAACACAAAGTTCAGTCTTAAGATATTAAGGTCGCAAGCACGTAAGCCATTTACAGCAAAGAAAAGATTACTTAGTCTCATGAAGCGATCACGCGATGTATTTTACGGCTGTGGGTGACGCTTTTGGAGAAGCGTCCGATTAAGCGCTCAAAACATCAACAGCTAAGTATGCTCGTCGAGTACATGCCAAAAAGAGCTACTGGTCCTGTATATCCTGCTAGCTGGATAACTAGTAGACGCAGGAGGAGAAAATGGTGCACTTCGCACAGGCAATGAACCCACGGACCGTATAAAGACTATCGCGAAAAGTAAGCTACCATCAAGGTCAAGAGAGACTGGAAGATCAGGTCTATTGTAAGGCATGAGAGCAAGAAACCTGGTGCATGGGGGAAGGGGTCCGCTGTAAATGGGGCTGTCCAAGTGAGGAGAAGTATAACTCATGTTGGCCGTAGAAGATGACGCTGATGCACACACAGGTGAATTTTAGACAGCGGTTCAATGCTGTGCTAAGTGGCGACATCCTCGTTACTTCAAAACGTGGTGGACTGCCATCAAAAGTGTTGATCTTGAGCGGAGAAAGCATGCGCATGCATTTGAAAGGAAGCACAGAAATCGTGGCTGGTGTCGATGTCAAAGTTTGAAGGGTCACGCTACTCGAATTATCCATGCGGATAACCTCATATGAGACATTACTTTGCATGAATAGTTGAAGAGGTCTGGTGCGAGTTACGCTAAGATGGAGAGAAACGGTATGTTGCTCACTGAATTGAAGGATGCCATGTCTGGGACGTCCACAATGACACAACGATGCTTCAACTGTCATATGACACAATCGGGCGTATAGCAAATAACATTAGCAGCGGAATACAGCTCACAAATGTAAAGAAGACAGTTTTTTTACGTGTGCGGCGAAGCAAACAATGGCGAAACAAGCAATTGCAGAAGGGCATAAAATGAAATGCACTTAGTGAGAATTCTGGTGGTGTCATGTGTAGCGACTCGTAGGGCCAATCACACCATCTGATATTTTTCGGCAACATGTACATAATCACCCTTGCTGGCTACCAAAGTTATTACTGCCGTATATTGCTCAGCATGAAAATGACAAGGTAATGTGAGTCGGTGGTAGCTGGAGCGATTTTAAAGCTAATCAAGTCGAAAATGGTGGATGTACAGTGTCTACAGCGCCGAAGAGGTCGAGTTCGAGGAGTTGAAGAATTTTCAGCTACGAGACTTTCGAGCTGTGTTGGAAGCTTTAATTTTCTTTTACTGAAGTGTTCTCGGTGTGACTTTACGACAGACAGACACTGTCATGTCGCCGAGTCGTGCAGCACGACTAAGCTAGCTATATGCTAGATAGCCATGACGTCACGGTCTGTCGTCACGGTCTGACGTACTGTCTGACTTACGGTTTGACGTACGGTCTGTCGTCACGGTCTGACGTACTGTCTGTCGTACGGTCCGACCTCACAGTATGACGTCATTAGGAACATTCTAGAACGACATAGAATGATAGGCTTAGAGGTAGCAAAGGGTAGCGAACTAAGGACCTATATTCATTCAGTTTTCAATTTACCAAGTGAGCCATAAGTCCTGCAGACACCAAAAAGGGAACGTTCAAGCAGTTGCATTTTACCTTTGACTCTTTACTAATCACTTCGGCTTAGAAAGTGTGATTTTAGTCAAGTACGGCAGACGAGCGCAAGTTCTATCACACGACAGCCATACAGCGTTTGTCTCTTCTGGAATGTCCCGAACGTGCAGGCACACGGAATCTAGAACAGTACCAAGACAAGAGTATGACCTTGAAGTTGACGAGTATTGTCGTGACT